GATGTTGGTACCCCTTGGGCTGCCAAACCCTCGATCCTCACCCATTACAGGTTTCGAACAGAATGAGTTCAATTTGAGGGGATTAACTTCCTTATACTCATACGAGGAATAAATCCCTGCGAAGTTATAAAGTATGTATCCCATCTGTTATTTTCTAAAACTCATACGAAGAATAAATTCTTACAAGAGTAAAGCATTCACCCCGACTAATTTGGATCGAAGCTCAGGTCTAGAGTTTATTTCATGCCAATGCACGTGGTGTGTGTGAGGAGGAACGTAAAATCCTTTCAACAAATGTTAGTATGACAATTAAAAATGTTTAAGTTAAAAACTTTGATAGGGTTGAAATCAAAAATTAAAATGTTAGTATGACAATTAAAAATGAAGAAGTTAAAAACTTCAATATACGAATCATAAGTCAACTAAAGACTCGAACTCATAGTTTCCACCACAACGACAATGTGTAAGCGGCTTACAGCCTGACTCTCTAAATAAAGTCTCTAGCGGAGTCGCCAAGCTGTCATAACCATTCTTTTTTTGAAAAGCAGCTAAATATTATTTTAAAAAACAATTATGACCTTTATTATAAAAATTGGTGATTTTGTATTAATTTGGATGAAATTAATACAGAGTAGCCATCGACCTTTGGGCTAGGTATGTCGAATACCTAATAAACGTCTTTTAAAAAAAATTTAAGTAAAAATCGTTTTTAAGACAAAATTCGATCTGTGTTTACTAGAAATTCGATTTGATGGGTCCTGGATTCAATTACACGTGGGGAAGTATTAGCACCCCCACAACGCCCAAAATTGTACTGTATCGCTTACACGTTGTCGTAATGTGGTGGAAATTATAAATCGATAATACAGTTAAAATATGATCCGTTTATTAAAATTTGATTAACTTACTTCGAATTAATTATTTTAATAGAAAATCCTTTTACTCGATAAAAAATCTTGAAATTTGCAATCCTCCGTCGGGAAAGCTATCACAACTAGGGGTGTTCATTCGGTTAATTCGGTGGCCGAACCGACCGAACTACTATTTTCGAATTAACCGAACTTTTTTTTTTCTTTAACCGTTAACCGAACCGAACTTTTTTTCGAAAATATTAACTGAACCAAATAAATTTCGGTTAATTCGGTTAATTTTCGAATTAACCGAAATTTTTTAGAATTTTAGAATTTAATATTTTTTAATTAAAAAAACAATTTACAATTAATTTAAATAATATCTAATTATAAATAATATCTAATTAATTTGATTCAAACATTTTGCATTTAGTTTTGATATTATTTTAATTAATTAATATTGATTTGGGTTTTAAATAGATTTTAAATGGATTGGGCCTCTTAATATAATTATATTTAAAGGTTAATTCGGTTAATTAACCGATTTCGAACCGAATTAACCGTTAACCGAATTCCAAAAAAATCCTTAACCGTTCCCCGACCGAATTAATTCGGTGGCCGACCAAATTAACCGAACTAATTCGGTTCGGTCGGTTAATTCGGTTAAAACCGAATTTTGAACACCCCTAATCTCAACCATTTCTCATTCGTAAAAGAATATTCTATCTTCAGATAACGCATATCGAAATAAAAATTAATATTGAAATTTACATAAAAATAAAATAAATTAATAAGAACACATTGAATCATTCACATAAAAATATTTAATTAATAAAATAAAATAGATTTATTTCAAGTCTCATTTTGTTTGAACATTGTATCGGATTGTACCACTTCGATCAAGTGATACTTTCCACGCTCGTTCTACAGATACGTTTTCTTGAATTTATTCAAATAATATAAATTGATAGATAACGAATAAACACCGAAAACAAATACAATTTGAAATCTATGAAATAAAATATTAACAATACACATAGTTAATAACGTCTATTTAAAATAATACATATATAGCCGAAATATACAAAATACATATACATGCAAGATTAGAACAAATTAAAATATTACAAATCAAAATACAAATAATAAAAACAATAAATAATCATATTCTATTTAAAGGATCAAAATAGCAAAAATATAAACTTAAAGGACTAAATAGCAAAAACATAAATTTAAAGGACCAAAATAGTGAAAATAGAAATTTAGAGGCTAAACCATAAATATAAATAAACCAGATTCCTAATATCGAAAATATTAAATAGTACATGTACTATAAGTGAAAATAACCCATAAATAAATCTTAGGACTAGAATGCATTAAAACAAAAACATGAAGGTCGAATAATAATTAAACCAAATGTAAAACAATGACTAAAATAAAATATTTACAAATGTCATAGCCAAATTCGAACATCAACAAAAATACACAACAACTGAAACCAATGACTAAAATGGAACAATTACAAATCTCATGATCAAAGTCAAACATTGATAATAATAGCATAATAAGTAAAAATAGGACTAAAATATAAATACTAAAACATCAGTACTCAAAATAAAATAAGTCAAAACTCTATTCAATGGCTAAAATGAAATATAACAAAGAATAGTGGGACCCAAAGTGGGATTTACTCACGCGTAAAAAATACAAACTGGTCCCCCTCGAAACTACATCGTTTCGTAGGGGATATTTATGCCTAACATCAAGGCTTTCTTCTTCTCATCTCTCATTTGCTTCGGTTCAACAAAATAGGGAGGGAGAGAGTTTTATGAGCTCTCTCAACTTCCCTTGTCGTGGAAGAAAATGATGGCCACCGTCGAAGGAGCTCATGGTGGCTTGCTACGGCGCCCGCGATGGCGCACAGCGGTCGGAGAAAGAGAAACATCCCAAAAGCTTCCGCCTTTCTTCCCCAACCCAAATCTTAGCTCATTATAGCGTAAAATCGACCCTATGAACCTAGATCTAAAATATACCTTTCGGAAAAAATGTGAAGACCCAACGACCCTTAGGCTTCCTGACAGCTTTGAACAGAGGTAAGAATCTTCGCCCACTATTTCTCTTGTTGTATTTTGTTTTATGTTTGAATCCTTGCTTTGGTTTTTCGTTCCCTGAATGGGTTCTTTGTTTTTTTCTCTCCAGAAAACCGGTTCCCTCTCCCACCGAATGGTTGATTTTTTCTTTTTGTAAACCCTCCAAATCCTGCTCTGCTTCATAGATGTTTGATGATTAAAATCTGCATATTTCTTTGGGATTTGCTATTGATTTCATTTAATTTTTTTATTGGGATTTTAGAATGATGGGAGTAGTTTTCGGTAACTGTAGGTGTCACTACAGGTGAAGCAGCGTTAGAAATCCCATCGGTGGTAGGAGTAACAGGCGGCAGAGGCAGCGTCAGGTCCCTAAGGTTAGGGTTTTAGAAATCCTAATTGGGTCAGGTCTGATCAGATCCGGATCGGATATGAGTCTCGGGTCGAATTCGGGTAGGTCTGGATTGGTTGTAATCTGGGTTTGTCTGAGTGGGCTATTGGATGGGTCTTGTCATTGTGGGCTTCGAGTGGGCTAATTGTAATCTGGTTCCATTGGTTTGTAATTGGCCTTGGGTGATTGGTGGGCTTCGTTTTAGGCCTGTAAAAAAATGTAGAATATATAAAATAATAATAATAATAATAAAATAATTAATAATATTTTTTAGATCCAGACAAAAATGAGTGTCTACAGCACTTGTTGCACACAAGTTAAGGATAAGACACTTATCAATGGATGATAGCGTTGAAAATTTTGATCAAAGTCAACAATTTCATGCCTATTCGATATTCTTACTTTGAAATAAAAAGAATCGACAGGTTTTAAAGTTGTTAGGACATGGGGGGAGGGTTGGGTTCTGTGTTCAAGGGAAAGCTCCGTAGTGGTCAGTTGGTGGCACTCAAACCGTCGAGCAAATTTAAACCAAACGGAGAAGATTTCATAAGTGAAGCTGCGACCATCGGAAGGATTCGTCATTGACTTTAAAAATTTGTACATTTTCTAAAACTAGATCAGGAGAATGTAAATTTAACCACAATATCATTGAAAGAAAATAAAAATGTCTAAATAATAAAGGTCATCTAAACTCCGAGATAGATCGAAGTGGGATGACTTAAATATTCTATAAAAAAAAAAGGATTAAAGTCTCCGTTTTGTTTCAATGTTGGCGGTAATTTTATTATTATGCCGTTAATAATGCGCAAGGATTGGGAGATTCAAGTCTTGCACCTGTACATAGAGGGCTACAAATTAGCGGACTATATTTCCAAACCTGGCGGTGGCTCAGCCACTACCTTTGAACAACCACCGGTGAGGCAATGCCAATACTGCTGGTAGATGTGAAGCTAGGACAGTGATGTTGTAAGCTGTTGTTTTGTTCCTTTATCTACCAGTCTTGAATCTGTCTCTGACCCAACCCTATTTAATCATTAGAATTTTTAATCTAACGCTTGTTAAGAACTTTTTTTTTCTTCTTCTTCTTCATCCTCATTAAATGAAGATATGGGAAAATTGTGTCACGAAGACCCAAAAAAAATCGTATCATAACAACATAATTTATTAGTAATAAAATAAAGATATAAAATAAGAGAATAAAGAAAGATCAACAAAGGCAATCAACATTAAATTTATGTTGTCGCCATGCCAATTAAAAAAAAACACGAGGAATTAAGAAACGGCTGGAGTTTAGTTTATCTTTAGTTCCCCTCCTCTTTATTATTCCACCCGAAAGCAAAATAATTAATCTCGATTTAAATGAATAAATATTGATTTAAATAAATAATTAATCTCAAGTTCAGGTACTAATAACTATATAATATTTCAGTCTTTATTATCAAATGGTTGAAAAATCTTTAATAAAAAAGGTTTTTTATTAATAAAATTCACTGAATTTCATCAAAATTAAAATTGAAGGAGAAGAACTAAAAGTGTAGGACAGAGAAGGAAAGGGATAAAACGTTTACTACCAGTTGTTATACTTGTGTGGACCCTGTCCAATAGAACAAGCAGCATAACTAGCACCCATCATTGCCATTCATTCAATCGAAATTCCTCTGTGGACATTCCGCACCCATTTATTCAATCCGATGCCAAAAGTTGTGGTTGCAATTCATCCAAAACCTTTTCTCTTAAATCATAAGATTTTTCACGATCAACCCAAAAACCAAACAAATGGCGTTGCTGAACTTCCTTTTCCCGCCGTCTCTTTTCATCACTGCAACGTCTCTTGCGTCTTTCACGTCACTGGCGAGTGCTGGGTTATCAGAATTTAGAGGAAAGAATCTCGAGTACTCCAAGTTTTTCAACGTCGCTTCAAAAGCTTCCGATGCAGAAAAATCGAACAAGTTAACGCTTCCGAGTAGAATCGCCATGGCCACGCTTTATACACCGGCTTTTCTTGCTGGGGTTTCTTCGTTTGCGATTTTCCCAGAAGAGAATCTCAGGCTTTTGTTGCTCAAATCCGCCATTTCCATCCATTTCTTCAAGAGAGTTCTCGAGGTATGTGACTTAGGTCTCTTATAAATCATAAATCAAGCTCGAAGAACAACAAAACTTGAATTACGTCCACTAATTCATTTATAGTACATTCAATTACGTAACTCCGTTGTTAATTGTCAAGCAAAGTTACATGAAATTATTTTAGATACTGAACTTTATTATTGTATCGATTTTACTTCTGAAATTTTAAATAATTTTTTAAGTGTCAGTCTTTCGACTGCCATCGGTAATAAAGCACAATCCGTCATCATTCATATTTCATGGCAAGATCGATATCAAAATATTTGTATTTTATCTCTTGTCTCTTCTCCTAAGATTGGTTTTTCATGAAACCCACTTAAAATCGATAAAAAAATCATTTAAAAGTTCGAGATATTAATACTTCGATCTCTTTTAACAATCATCCGATGAGACTAGTTTTAAGGTATGTTGTTCATCTTCTCTTGAAATAATATTTTTCCATATTCAAATTTTGGAACAAACAAACGCTCTAAATCTCGTAAATCTAATAAAGTCTCCAATTTTTTTTAAAAAAAGATATATTTTTGTTTTATTTTATCGATTTTGAGTGTGTTTCATGAAAAAATAATCATATAAGAAGAATGAGAAGTGAAATGCAAGCATTTTGATATTGATTTTACCATAAAACAATATCGGTGATAGACGATGATTGAATGTTGGTAGCGGCCGAAAATATGCTAAAAAATAAATTGTTTAAAACTTCAGTGGTAAAATCAATACACCCTTAAAATTCAGAGTATGAAACAACGTCGTCTTAGACATTAGAACAGTCGCGTCAAAATGACATTATTTTAGGGTCACATATCACTTCAGAAACTGTTAATCATGTCATCAATTTAACGACATACTTGACATAATTAAATGTAAAATTAATTTTTTTTAATATAATTAATAAAATTAAAAGTTTAATGCCATAAATGAGTTACTTAACAAAAATAGTTTTTCTTTTTTACACTCTTTGCAGTCGTGTTTTGTTCATAAATACAGTGGTGAAATGGGAGTCGACACGATGATAACAGTACTCTCAAGCTATTTCATTTCCAGTGCACTCATGATCTTCAACCAACACTTAACGATTACACTACCCGAACCGGCAATTGATTTGAAAAGCCCTGGGATCCTCTTGTTTCTCCTGGGAATCACCGGCAATTTCTACCATCATCTTCTTCTCTCCAAACTCAGATCCCAAGGCCCCGGCAAGGAATACAAGATCCCAAAGGGGGGTTTGTTTGGAGTTGTGGTTTGCCCTCACTACCTGTTTGAGGTTTTAATTTTCTGGGGATTTGCTTTCATTTCCCAGACCTTGTTTTCATTTGCATATGCGATGGGCACTACTTGTTACTTGCTGGGTAGAAGTTATGCATCCAGGAGATGGTACCTTTCGAAGTTTGATGATTTTCCCAGGAATGTTAAGTCCATGATTCCATTCTTGTTCTAGTTCTGTAGGTTGAGATATGTTGTTTAAAGCTAGATTCAGTGCTCAGCCTTTGAGTAGCTATGAAGAAGATAGATACTATAACTATTATTGGACATAAATTCGAATATTTGTCCTCAAATGCCAAATCATTTTGATTTATATATATATATATATTAGATTTGCTTTTGAAACGAATATAGCTGGATTATAGCATTAAAACAAGAGTGAATTACACAATTGGTCATTAATATTTAAATAAATTTTTATTTTTTTACTAAAATTTTGAAAGTAATAAATTGATCACTAACTTTATTGATTAATAACAGATCGATCACTCATCGTTAACAGTCCTTACTGCGATAATGGAATGATGATGTGGCACGTTAAGTTGACTTGTTTAACACTATTTGGCTACATGAGATAAGAGTTAATCTCCGTTTGACTATCCTCCACCGTCGTTCTTTTCTCTCCCCAAAATTCATCATTTCTTTTATGTCTTCATTCTTTATAGTCCACGAAGTTCGACATTAATTTTAAAAAGTGACTTTTAAAAGTGAACTTTTATAAGTGGTTTTAAAAGTGTAATTTAAAATTTAATTATTCGAGATTGTTGTTAAAAAATAATTTTAAAATGTAAAATCTTTATTTTAAACATTATGCTGCAAATTAAAAATATAGCATTTAAATTATATTTACACTTAATAATACTATGACATATAAAATATATTAACTTAAACTATAATAATTAAGATAACTCGATAATAATAATTTTATATACGAAATATTTTTGTTGAAAATATTTTTATGTTTCGATATATCAAATTAAGTTAAATAAATTTTAAGATTTTAGAAATGATTTTCTAAGTATATTCGATTTAATTATTCGAATATCAAAATATTACTCCAATTCTTTCAAAGTTCAAATTCAATCCTTACTAAAGTGTAAAATTATGTTTTATACTTGAAATATTTTTAAAACAATTTTCACAAACTATTTCGAACCAAAAATCAAATTTGTAAAGGGATGCACCGATGCACTCATTGATGAATCGATGCACACACCATTTCGAATGCATTTTATGCATCGATGCACTCAGGTTTTATGAAAACATCGAATGCATTTTATGCATCGATGCACATACCATGCATCGATGCACTCAGGCTTGTTTGAAACATCGAATGCATTTTATGCATCGATGCACATACCATGCATCGATGCACTCAGGCTTATTTGAAACATCAATGCATTTTATGCATTGATGCACTTTTAGTGAACCGATGCACTAAGTGTTCCAAAGGTCGAAATATTTGAATTTTACGCTTGATGCATCGATACACCTTGACTATGCATCGATGCACACACGCTCCCAACTGATTTTATTAATTGTTTTCACAGTTAAACGACTTTATTAACTCCACTATTCATCCCCAACATTCAGAATCAATTGAAGGAGTATTTAAACAAGCTTAGATGCCATTGATCAACTAGAAAAAAACAAGAAGAAACAACAATCAACAAGAATCAAGAGAGAATCAAAGAGAAAGCATCAAACCTCAAGTTTGAGCATTTTCAAGCCTATTTCATTCAATATTCATTTTTTTCTTTCAATAACACTTATTGTGATCAATTGTATTATTCTTGAGTGTTCTTTTTTTGTTATAGAATTGTGCAAACATATTGCCTTATGAGGATTTTCCTGTAAGTTTGCAAAATTTGTATTGTTCTCTTTGGGAGAGAGTGTTCTCAAGAATTTGGGATATAATTCTTGAGGGATGTATAAGGTTACTCTTTGTCCTCAAAAGAAAGACAAAATAGTGAATTTGTGGAAAATCCTTAGTGTGGATAGCTAAGGTAGTGGACGTAGACTTTGGTTGAGAAAGTCGAACCACTCTAAATCGCTGTGCAAATATTTTCAATTTTCTGCAAAAGCTTCCACCGAAATTTTAATTGCCAATTCACCCCCCTTGGCCATATTCTTCGATCAATTAACTCAACAATTGGTATCAGAGCCTCACTCATTTAAAGGTTTAATCACCTCTTGAGTCGATTCGGGAAGAGTTACATCGATAAGTCATCAGTGGTCGACGCTTCAAACTCTGACTTCATTCTCGATTCAATGCCCGTCAACAAGCCTCCTTTCTTCAATGGAGCTAACTATGCTTATTAGAAGAATATAATGATGTACTTCATTCAAACAAGTGACATGGGAGCATGGAATGTCATAGAAGATTGATACATCAAACCCTGTACTCACCCGAGATTATGGAGTGAAGGAGAGAAAAGAATGTTCCAGCTCAACTCCAAAGCCATCCATATAATTTTTTGTACTCTTGGACCGGATGAATATGGAAGAGTTTCATCTTATACAACCGCCAAAGAAATATGAGACAAACTACAAGTCACTCATGAGGGCACAAACGAGGTAAAAAAATCTAAAATTAGTCTTCTAACTCATAGCTATGAAAATTTCAGGAGGAAACTGAATGACGATGTCAAAGCTATGACGGATAGATTCCCCATGATTGTCAATAGTCTAAAATCATATGGAGAAATTATTCCAAATGACAAGCTTGTAAGGAAGTTAGTTTACTCTCTTCCAAAAGCTTGGCAATCAAAGAAGATAGCGATCATCGAAGCTAAGAACTTAAAATCCTTAACCCTCGATGAACTTATTGGCTCTCTCCTTACGCATGAAATGATGCTTAAAGAAGAGGAAGACCTTGAGAAAATAGACGAGCCAAAGAAGGAGATGGGGAAGAAGAAGAACGTGGGAGTTACTCTCAAATCAACAAAAGATGAGAGTGATTCAGATGAAGATGACGATGACGAGGAGATGACATTGTTTTCCAAATGGTTCAGAAAAATGATGAGGCCAAACCGAGGAAGAAAATTCAAACGAAATGAAGGCTTCAAGAATGAACCAAAAGAGAATGACCCGATCATTTTCTATGAATGCAAAAAACTGGGGCATGCCAAATATGAATGCCCACGAATGAAGAAAAATGGTCAATCAAAGAATAAGCATAAGACTCACGTGGTTACATGGAGCGATGAAGAAGGTTCCGATGAAGAGGAACAAGAAGTAGCAAACTTGTTCTTGATGGCATTCGGGGAAGATTCTCAGGTAACCTCTAACTCATTTGATTTAGAAGATTTATCTTATGATGAGTTATTAGAGGAATATACTAGGTAGGCTTCGGATTATGAGAAATTATTTTTAAAATATAAAAATGATATTTCAAAATTGAAAAATAAAAATAATCTTATATCCAAGACCAACAATGATCTTGAAAGTAAAATCAAAGATTTACAAATCAAAAATAGAAGAGCTTGAAAACAAAAATTCTGATTTGCAAAATTTACTTTCAAGAGTCAATGATGATCATCAAAAGAAAATTGATGATCTTAAAGCTTCTTTTAATAAAGTTTGATCAAATCGTTTTGAAAAAGAAAAAAATTCAAAAATCAACTTTATAAGAAAAAGTTTTAGAAACTACAATCATAGAGGTCCTCAACGAACCTTAAATGAAAAAATCGTTAGAAGTATATGGGTTCCTAAAGAACTCATTACTACTAAAGGTAAGGATATCCTACACAAGTGGATACCTAAGGGGACTAGGATTTTGGAAACTAAAGAATATGGACCCAAAAGAATTTGGGTACCAAAGATCAAAAATTAATCTATGTTTGTAGGAAAAGGAGCATTGCTACAAGGCACGGGAAACAAATTCAAACTCATGGTACCTTGATAATGGATGCTTAAGACACATGACCAGAGACAAAAGCCGATTCATAGAGCTCAATGCCAAAAATGGAGGAGAACTGACTTTTGATGATAACTCAAAAGGTCACATTGAAGGTATAGGCACTATAGGTAATACCTCTTCCATACAAATTAAGAATGTTTTATATGTGAATGGATTAAAGCATAATCTATTGAGTATTAGTCAATTGTGTGATAAAGGATTCAATGTCATGTTTGATACTAATGGTTGTAAAGTCATTGACATTGCATCTAATCGGATTATGTTTGTTGGTCATAGAATAGGAAATATTTACATGGTGCATTTAGATTATATAGATATGACTAATTTATGCCTAGTTGCTAAGGATGAGCATGATAGTTGGTTATGTCATAGGAGACTAGGGCATGCTAGTATGAGTGTTTTGCAACGGTTAATTCAAGGAGATTTAGTTCGAGGGTTGCCTACACTAAAATTTGATAATGATAAAATATGTGATGCTTGTGCTAAAGCAAAACAAAAGCAAATTTCCTTTAAATCCATTAATGACGTATCCACTAGTAGAGTATTACAATTGATTCATTTAAATCTTTTTGGGCCATCTAGAATTACTAGCTTGGGTGGAAAACAATATGCATTTGTATTGGTAGATGACTATTCTATACTTGGGTTCTATTCTTAAGTACTAAAGATGAAGCATTAGAAAAATTCATCACGTTTTCAAAAGTAATCCAAAACGAAAAAGGTTACTCTATAACTAGTGTTAGGAGTGATCATGAAACTGAATTTGAAAATCTTGGATTTACTGAATTTTGTAATTATAATGGTATTAATCATAATTTTTCAACACCTAGAACCCCCTCAACAAAATGGAGTTGTTGAGAGGAAAAATCAAACTTTAGAAGAAATGGCTAGAACCATGCTTTGTGAAAACAATTTGCCAAAATATTTTTGGGTGGAAGCCACAAATACCTCTTGTTATGTTATTAATCGAGTAATGATTAGGCCTATTTTGAAGAAAACTCCATATAAACTTTTTAAAAATAAAAAACCTAACATTAGCTATTTTCATCATTTTTGGATGTAAATGTTTTGTTTTAAACAACGGTAAAGACAATCTTAGTAAATTTGATGCTAAAAGTGATGAAGGAATTTTTCTGGGTTATTCCTTAAATTCTAAAGCTTATCAAGTATTTAATAAAAGAACTTTAGTTGTAGAAGAGTCTATATATGTTGTTTTCGATGATAATCTCCTTCCGAGGAAGGATTCTTGTGTGAATGATGATGTAGGAATTATAAATATAAATGACGTTAGACATGACGTTGGAGAACCATCATCAAAG